GGCGTCTGGGCCTACAGCAACAGTGATAAGCTAGAGGTGTATGTAAAGGATGCTGTCAGATCAACGGTGCAGCAAGAGTATGGAGTTGTGGACACACGCACAAAAACATTTGACGCTATTCAGGAAGGGGTATGTAAAGAATTCTTTTGTATGACCATGTTGTTCTTATTGGAAGAACGTGAATTTGAGTTTGCTAACTTATTGGGAATTATATGAGGAAATTGACATATATTGAAGTTGTGGCCACACCTTGGCTTAGGTGGATGGATGTCAGTGCAGAGACTTGGTTCATCACCAAGGCAGGCAAAGTGAAATTTGTTGTGGATGAAGTAAAACTGGGATTGGTTTTTCTGTGATCAGTCTGATTTTCCTCTGTGAATTGCCATTCCTTTAATGCTTAATATTCATATGTGATGGCCTGTGGAGTGTGTGATACTACAGTCTACCAACCAGCAGGACATCACAACCTTGATCTCCAGCACTTGTCTTACTTCCCTTCCCTTATCTTTTTTTTTTTGCTTTGTTTGTTTCTTCTTTCTTTTCTTCCTTTTACCATTTTATATTAAAACGAGGTCTTATAAGAATTATGTGAACCTATTTAAGATTAAGGTTAGATTTTTCAAACCAAGTTGATTTGTGACCTGTAGTTACATTGCTGTGGTGCCACTGGACCACAAGACTGGGCTGGCAGCGAGTACAACAAGGCGGGAAAAACTGCATTTAACGTGCTTGTGAGCTCGGTAGTGCAGGTGTATAACATCCCAACTAGCTGTTGTCGGCAGGGAACCAGTGAAGAATTCTGCAAGACTGCTGTGAAGGCCGGTATTGCTGCACAGTTGTCCACTGCGGTGTACTCAGAGGTGAGTACGAGTGTTTCAGTTGGCTCGTTTCTGCTCCACTCATTCAGGAGTCAACACAGTGAATCCTATGTCTTTGTTCCTTGCATCAGAAATAATATCAAAGAGCTAAGGTTTACTAATGTTGCCAACATATGAATATGTATTATCACTTTTTAAACTCCTAAACAATTTGTTTTCTGATAAATCATGGTTTACTTCATGTACAGTAAAAGCAAAGAAAAAAATGAATTGCCTTCTTTCATTGTTTTTTGCTTTTAATTTGCTTCAGGGCTGCATTGATAAATTGATTCACACATTGAAGAAGCACATGAGCATTGTGGTTGGTGTTGGGATCGCCATCATCATCATAGAATGTTTGGGCCTTATCTTCTCACTCATCCTTTGCTGCGAAATTCGAACCATGGATCGGTACAAAGCTTAAACACTGAAGCTGAATCTTTATTTCCTCCTAATTCAAGGCTGGTATACTAATCTACATCATTTGGTTCCAGTTAAAAAAAAGTAATTTCCAAAGCAGGTTGTTTGCCGAATACATGGTGAGTTTTGAAACCTGTACTCATTTCACGGGCTGGTTGCATAGCCAAGATCAACTTCATTTGTTTAAAGTGTACTACTTGTGGCTTAATTGTACAAATGCTATATTAGAATGTTTGTAAAAACTACTTCTACTAGATTAACTGTTTAGAAACGTTATTGTGTGGTATAGCAAGCGACATGGTGTGCACCAACCCGGTGGCAGTTTGTACCCAATTTTTGTAGGTGCCAGTGTCGATAGTGTGGCTAGTCTGTGCTGTTCAAAAAGCCACATTTGTTTGTGTGCCAAGACAGCTCGTCCAATACTGTAACATTATGACACAAACACAGAGAATTTGTTTTGTTTAATTATATTTGAGCCTTAAATTTGGCCACTCAGTTTTATAAGCCCTTTTATCAAAATTTTGAGTGCACTGAATGTGAGAACCATAGTGACCCTTTCAATCAGAGAAGTATTTAATATTTACTGTATTACTACTGACAGGGTTACAAAAGTGTTCCCCTAAAATATATCCGAGGCAGTGGATCGCGTTGGTAGCATACGGATCATTTTGTGTGTATAAAATTACTCAACAGTATCATGTATGTGATTTCTTTCACACATTACAACACACTTTCATGAGTCAAACGTGTTGTTCACGTTTATTCTGGAACCACCACATCCTACATTTCTAACATTTTGTGAGGGGAAATA